TCCGATAAGGATTAGAGTGAAAGCCAAATTTTTACCTGGCGAAGCTGATATGAACACCGAGGTTTCGATGGTTAGAGAAATCGGACCTTATAATCAGATATGGCTTTGAGTTTTTCGAAAACTAGACTCTGCTGGGTCAGATTGTCGGAATCCATCTTAGGCGAAATTTTAGGGTTTTCCAAAGCGCAGGACAAGAGTTAGGGGGAAACACAAAATTTGATTAGTAAAGAGATAAGACTAAAGAGACGAGGAATGTAATTAAGCTCTGATTAGTACTTTAATGGGCCAAAGCAAAAAATAAATCATAAGTTCTTGTGGACTGATATGACCTCTCTGTTTTCTGCAGGAGATTTCATAACACAGGCCCATTGTCATGAGCACTGAAGATGGTCACAAAGGCATCCTAAATGTACTCAGATCGATCCAACGCAAGTAAAAACAACAACATGATCTACGAACAAAAATTCAAAGCTATCGGTCGGTAACGGTACTTGTACTCGTCCAGCTACTCATTCCCATAATATTCATTCTGTCTATAACAACAACACGGCTTTCTTCTTAAAACAATAATGCCTTGAGTTTCACTTTGGTTCAATGTTGGTTCTGTTCCAAATTCCAATAATTGTGGTGTCGTATGAAGCAAGACATAACAGCATTGTAAACTACAATTTTGTAATGTATCATTTATTAATGGAGTATGTTTGCTTCGGATCATAATCTCACCATCATCATTTAAGCAGAATTTTGTTCCGAGTTATTTACTAAACCTGAAAATTAGAAAGAAAAAAAGAGAGATAATTTTATCAAAGGATTAGAATACATTCGTTTATAGACACTTCTGTAACTAAGAATTATAAAAAAAAAAACAGCAAATGAAACGTGACGTACACGTAAGCTAGGTTTTGAGTGGGATTTAGAGTGGATTACGCGGCAATCATATATTATTTTAGAACTAAATATCTTCATTTCGAATAAACATTTGCTCCGTTCTGTTACCAAACCTATAAAGATTATAAAAGCGGTATTTTCATTCATTTACCATTAATTTTANAGAAATTAGGCTATATATTAGTCTNTTAATACATAATTAGGAGTCTAACTTTAGGTAAAACAAAATTAGGTTTTTAAAATTTTTGTGCCATGAAATTCTATTTTTAGCCTTATCAATTTCACAAGTTTTTGTTTTTACTTTAATAACAAAAACTATGTTTGATAAGAGATGCGATATAATTATATATGGATTCAAAGCATCAAGAAATTCGCAACAATAATTTTTTTTTTTTAAACTACTCTTTGTTTTCTCTTACAAAAACACTCATGGTTGTTCGAATTTCCATCTTTCTGTTTTTTTTTGCATAGTGTTTCATCTCATTAAACGTTAATCAGGGAAATCCTTTTATAAATCATTTACCATGTTCTACATAAAAGATTAGACAGGAGTGATTTGCAACAACTCGGCGTGATTCACGTTTAAGGTATGCCCCACGGCCCCTATAAAGTTTATGATCAGATGCCTTCTTAAAAGAAATATTATATTGTAATATTACTCGTTTTTAAATAAAATATTTTCTTGAATAGTGCAAGAAATGGATTCAAGATTCAGCTTTTCCGTTCCTTCCTTTCCTTCAAGGTTACTTCCTCCAATTCCTCTTCACATCATATGATTGTACTATGTATATGTTGATTTGACATATATAGATGCTCGTCCGTCTCTGCAACCAAGGATTGCTTATTTTTCAAAAAAAAATGACGAC